GCAAATATATTAACAAAAAAGCTAAACTAATTTGCTATCTCCTGCTAATTAGACCATTACTAACATACTATTATCTAATAAAGAGGCTAATGTCACTTCCAACTCCTTTTTTTTCCATATTAAAAAGTGTGTTTTGTGACCTTGGCCGGGAATCTAAAATATATTAATTCTCGGAGAAGGCACGATATATCCGGGAAAATCAAATTAGGGGCAAAAATCCAGTAATCTAAATAATTTAAGGGGGACCTGAAATACTAAGAGGGAGGGGGGGTCCCAATAATTACTTGGGGGGATTTAAGTAGATTGAATTTTAATATATTCCAGTCTCCATAATACACAGATGTTAATACAACAATTACTCCAGGCCTTTTGACTAATTAACTCGAGGGTGGGGGGTAAGGCCAACTCACTTGCGGCTACGCGAAATAGTATAACATAAAAAAAAATAAAGGGGGAGAAGTTAATGGTGCAAGGGGGGAGAAGTTAGGGGACCGTTCGCGGAGAGTAATTATTACAGCAACAAAAAAAATAATAATGGATAGAGTGATTGTTCAGAGGCTCACCGTTGGGGGGAAATGATTATAAAAAGGGGAACTTCGTTGCGGCAGGGGATAAATGTACGGGTACTCACAATGTTGGCGGCCAATACTCGACCGAGAACCCTCAACTCTTTGCTTCTGGACTTTTCCTCTTTCCTTCCTTCTCCAGACTTCTCCACTCCTGGGTCTCCACGCTAGTCTAAATCTCCAACACAATGAAATTCTCCTCCGAACAATCTCTTTTCCAAAAACACTACTGGTCACGGGGCAGCTGTATCACAAGTGATGACTGCCAGTTATCTTCACATCTTCTTCCCTGATTATCGGTCATAATGGGGGTTACTCGGGGGCACTCGTCATCGAGTGTCCTTTTCCTCTTAGTTATTCCTTGAGGGTCAGTTGAGGGATGTCTCTTTCTTTTCCGGGTCACGTGGTGTCCAGTCTCTTCGTGGGGGGTTTTCTCCTTTTAGCCAGTCTGCGATGAGTGCGGCGTCGAGGGGAAACGGGGGGAGGTTTTCTTCTTCATCGTTATCGTCCTTTTCCCCGGTTGATGTGAGTACCGTGGCGAGGGAAATGGGGTAGGGGGAAGGAGTATCTCGGGAATGGGTTATCCAACGGTGGCAAAAAAGAGTAACTTAAACCTAACTTAGCCTAGGAAAAATA